TCCCTTTCTACACTTTACCACTTTTTAAAAATTTTTTTAGGGGCGCCTGGGTGGCTCAGTCGTTAAGCATCGGCCTTCGGCTCAGGTCATGGTCCCGGGGTCCTGGGATCAAGCCCCGCATTGGGCTACCTGCTCGGCAGGAAGCCTGCTTCTCACTCTACCACTCCCCCTGCTTGTGTTCCCTCTCACTGTGTCTCTCTCTGTCAAATAAATAAATAAAATCTTTAACAAAAATAAAATTTTTGTAAAGATTTATTTATTTTAGAGAGCGAGAGAGCACGAGGAGAGGGAGAGAGAATTCCAAGCAGACTCTGTGCTGAGTGCAGAGCCTGATGTGGGGCTTGAGCTCATGAACCCGAGATAATACTTGAGCCGAAACCAAGAGTTGGACCGACTGTGCTGAGGCATCCCTACTTTTTAAATTTTTATTTATTTTTAATTGAAGTGTAGGTGACAGTACTACATTATATTAGTTTCAGGTGTGCATAGTGATTTGACATTTATATATACATTATGAAATTCTTACCACAATTAAGTATAGTTAACTATTTGTCACCATACAAAGTTATTAAAATATCATTGACTGTATTACCCATGCTGTACTTTACATCTCTGACTATAACTGGAAGTTTGTTCCTCTTAATCCTCTTTACCTATTTGCTTCTCTCTGCTGCAGCCACTAGTTCTCTGTATTTATGAGTCTGTTTCTGTCTTGTGTTTGTTCATTTGTATTGTTTTTTAGATTGAACATAGAAGTGGAAGTAACAGGGTGTTTGATTTTCTCTTTTTTCACGGTAGCATAGTACCCTGCCTCTAAGTCTATCTGTGTTGTTGCAAATGGCACGATTTCATTCTTTTTTATGGCTGAGTAATACTCCTGTGTGTGTGTATATGTAGGTGTATATATATGTGTGTGTATCATATCTTTATCCATTCATCTGTCAATGCACACTGAGATTGCGTCCGTATCTTGGTTATTGTAAATAATACCATAGTAAACATAAGGGTGCATATATCTTTGCAAATTAGTATTTTCATTTTCTTGGAGCAAATACCCAGAAGTGGAATTATTGAATACCATAGGATCCAGTATTTCTATTTTTAATTTTTTTAGGAACCTCCTTACTGTTTTCCACAGTGGCTGCACCAACTTACATTCCCACCAACAGTGCATGAGGGTTCCGTTTTCTCCACATCCTTGCCAAGACTTGTTATTTTTTGCCTTTTGGATACTAGCCCTTCTGACAGGTGTGAAGTGATATCTCATTTTGGTTTTAATTTGCATTTTGAAAAATATTTTCTGTACTTATTAGAGAGAGCAAGCACAAGTTGGGGGAGAGCTAGAGGGGGAAGGGAGCCTTCCTGTTGAGCAGGAAGCCTTATCTAGGGCTCAATCCCAGGACTCCCAAGATCATGACCTGAGCTGCTTTGTTATCAGGACTTACTTAATTGACTGAGCCACCCAGGACCGTTAATTTGCATTTTTTGATGAATATTGAACATTTTTTCATGTGTTAGCCATCTCAGTGTCTTCTTTAAAAAAAAGTCAGTGGTGCACTTGGGTGACTCATTAAGTGTCCGACTCTTGGTTTTGGCTCAGGTCACAATCTCAGGGTCCTAGGGTCAAGCACCAAGTCAGGCTCTGTGCTCAGCATGGAGTCTGCTTGAGATGCTTTCCTCCTCCTGCCCCTGCTCCAGTGCTTCTCCTCCTCTGTTATTGCCCCTGCTTGCGCATGTGTGCTCTCTCTTGCTCGCTCGCTCTCTCTCAAATAAAATCTTAAAAATGTGTATTCAGGTCCTCTGCCTTGTTTTTTTTTTTTTAAAGATTTTCTCTCTTTGAGAGAGTGTGTGCCTGGCACAAGATGGAGGAGGGGGAGGGATCAGCAGACTCCCTGCTGAGTGCAGAGCCTGAAGAAGCGCTTGTCCTGAAGAAGAGCTTGTCCTGAGCCAAAGTCAGACACTTAACCAACTGAGCCACCCAGGCGCCCCCCCCACCCATTTTTTAATCAGATTGGGTTTTTGGTGTTTTATGAGTTCTTTTTATATTTTGGATATTAATCCCTTACTGGGTATATCATTTGGAAATATCTCCATTCACTAAGTTGCCTTTTTATTTTATTGATGGTTTCCTTCACTGTGCAAAAGATTTTTTAGTTTGACGTAGACCCAGTTGCTTTCCTTTTGTTGCTTTTGCCTACAGAGACAAATCCAAAGAAATGTTGCTGAGAGGGATAGCCAAGAATTTACTGCCTATATTTCTGTTGAGGAGTTTTATGATTTCAGGTCTTACACTTTACATTTAATTGAGTTCATTTTTGCATATGGTATGAGAAAGTGGTCCAATTTAATTTTTTCTCTCATGTAGCTGTCCATATTCTCAGCACCATTTATTGAAGAGACTCTCCCCTGCTGTAGATTCTTGCCATTGTATTCTTTAAGATTTTATTCATTTTGACAGAGACAGAGAGAGAGGGAACACAAGCAGGGGGGTGGGGGAGGGAGAAGCAGGCTTCCCAAGGAGCAGAGAGCCTGACGCAGGGCTCGATCCCAGCACCCTGGGATCATGACCTGAGCCGAAGGCAGACGCTTAACGACTGAGCCACCCAAGTGCCCCTTGCCATTTTTTTTTAAAGTTTTTATTTTTTTAAGTAGACCTTACACCCAACATGGGGCTTGAATCCACAACCTGGAGATCAAGAGTTGTGTGCTCCTCCTACTTAGCCAGCCAGGCGCCCCTCTTGCCTTTTTAATCATAGGTTAATTGGTAAATATGCACATTTTAACAATATTATTTCTTCCAGTCCATGAGCATGTTGTATCTTTCCATTTATTTGTGTCCTCTTCAGTTTCTTTTATCTGATAGTTTTCAGAGTACAGGTCTTTCACCTCCTTGGTTAAATGTATTTCTAGATATTTTGTTCTTTTTGGTGTAGCTATCCGTGGGATTGTTTTCTTAATTCCTCTTTCTGCTGCTTTGTTATTAGTGTATAGAAACGTAATAGATTTCTGTATCTTAATTATGTGTCCTGAAACTTGACTGAATTCATTTCTTCTAATAGTTTTTTGGTGGGGTCTTTAGGGTTTTGTGTATATAATATGTCATCTGTTTGGTTTTTTTTTTTCTTCCTATTTCTTAATTTTCTTTCCAATTTGGATGCCTTTTATTTCTTGTCTGATTGCTGTGGCTAGGACATCCAGTACTATATTGAATAAAGGTGGCGAGAGTGAACATCCTTGTCTTGTTTTGATCTTATGATGTTATGAGTATGATGTTAGCTGTGGGTTTGTTATATATGGCCTTTATTATGTTGTGGTATGTTCCCTCTAAACCCACTTTGTTGAGAGTTTTTATCATAAATGGATGTTGAATTTTGTCAAACGCTTTTTCTGCATGTATCGAGAGAATCATGATTCTTTGCTTTTTATTTTGTTAATTTGGTGTGCCATGTTGATTGATTTGCGGATATTGAACCATCATTATATCCTTGGAATAAATGCCACTTGATTATGGTGAATAATTATTTTAATGCATTGTTGATAACACTTAATTTTGTTTTTGATAACACTTGTTTTTTTTTAATGAAATGTGGTCTTTTTTTTTTTTTTTAAGATTATTTATTTGAGAGAGAGAGAATGAGACACAGCATGAGAGGGAAGAGGATCAGAGGGAGAAGCAGACCCCCCGCTGAGCAGGGAGCCCGATGTGGGACTCGATCCCAGGACTCCAGGATCATGACCTGAGCCGAAGGCAGTCGCTTAACCAATGGAGCCACCCAGGCGCCCGATAACACTTGTTTTAAATCTGCAAGTGAGGGGCGCCTGGGTGGCTCCGTTGATTAAGCGTCTGCCTTCAGCTCAGGTCATGATCCCAGAATCCTGGGATCAGTCCCACATCGGGTTCCCTGCTCAGCGGGGAGTCTCCTTCGTCTCCCTTTGCCCCTTCTCCCTGCTTGTGTTCTCTCTCTCTCTCTCCCTCTCTCTCAAATAAATAAAATCTTAAAAGAAATAAATCTGCAAGTGAGTACTTACTATCGCCTAAGCACTGTGGAGGGGGAGGTTTGGAGAAGTATGACATCCTCCCAGTCTTCAAATTGAAGGTGGAGAAAATCCGTTCTTTGTCACTGCTTTGTTTTATTTTGCAGTGTAACTGAGGAAATTAAGAACTTTTTAAAGAAATCATAAATACTCTAGCTGAGTATCTTTTCTTATAGGAGATTCAGATAATTTTTTAAAAAAAGATTTTATTTATTTATTTGACAGAGAGTGATAGAGCACAGGCAGAAGGAGCAGCAGGGGAGAGGGAGAAGCAGGCTTCCTTCTGAGCAGGGAGCCCAATGCGGGGCTCGATCCCAAGACCCTGGGATTATGACCTGAGCCGAAGGCAGATGCTTAACTGACTGAGCCACCCAGAGGATTGTTTTCATGCTGATGTAGGATCTGGACTCCAGATCTCTTGAATGTCATAATTGTTCATTGTTTTCTTTGTATCAGTCTAAGCTTACAGTTTGTCTTTTGGGAATTCTCTGATCAGATAACTCTGCTGTGTTTTGTTTTACAATTCTAGGGGTGTGGCGTGAGTTGTAATGGTGAGAGCCCAGGTCATGGAGGGAGAGGTTTCTTATTTTGATCTTGCACTTGGCTGTTGCCTGTCAGTTATGGCTCAAGCTCTGGGTCCACACAGCACCTCCTCCTGGTTTTTCCAGCCTTTACCTTTATTCCCAGGCTTTACCTCCAGTCCAAGAAAACTGGCTTCCAGACAAAGGGAGAACTAGGAAATGTCCTACAATGCCGTTTTTGGTTTAACTCGGAGTACAGATTTTTGTCTTCAGACCTTTGGTCTGTAAGTATTATTAAACTGCAGTGTTGAAGTTAATCAATTATTTTTAAGACTTCCAGTTAAAAACCCAGGAAGATTATTTCAGGCTTCATTTCTGGGAAACATACATGCTGGTATTGTTTGTTTTTTAAGCTTAGTAAAGTTTTAAAATTTGTTATTCTAGGAACTCAGCAGAGGCAGTTGTTATCCCGACTGCAAATTGACCCAGTAATGGCAGAAACTCTACAGATCGGTCAAGGTTGGTAATAATCTTAAATTTTCATTGTAATTTAGCATTTTTCAGTTGCTATTTCCATTTCTTGCACCTCATTTAATGTATCTTGTATATCTTAGATCCTGCCCTAAGATGCTATATTTAGATTGTGAAAATATTTTAGGGCCAGGAGACAAGATCTGCATTTTCTTCATGTTTTTATGGTGTTTGTATTTTTCGTCTCATTCAAAAACTTTCTTGCTTTGGTGCCGTTTCACCTGAGTCCCTGGAATCTTCTGGCTGTCACTCCCCTCTAGGGACAACTCAAATCCTTACCCTGCTCTCCTTTCTACCCTACTTTTCCAATGTCCTGAGCTGCTTTACTGTCCTGTAGCCTGTTCAACCTTATCCTCACTTTTATTTCTCTTTAGAGTCTCCTCACCAGGGCCACACCGAGAACTTGTTGTTCTTAGAGTCCCCGTAGCTTAATTTTTTGCCTGTACCCCTTCCCCACCCCTCCCCAGCATAGACACGTAAGCCAGGGGCTACCTCAGGACAGGGCCAAGTGCCTTGTTTATCTCTGCATTCTCCAGTGCCCAGCCCCTGCCACATGCATGTACAGTCCCCAGGAAATGCTGCCTACATGAAGGGAGCCATTCGACGCCTGCAATCTTCAGTTCAGAAACCTCCTTTTTTCTGTTTCCTTCTATTTCCCCTACACCTGCCCATTGTTGGAATCTCTGTTGCCTTGACCCCTCCCCGTGGCTCTTCTTCCCCTTTGGTCAGGCCTCCACAGTCAATAGGTATATTCTCTTACCCCATCTAGCTCTGTCTCAGAAAGAGGAACTTGTCCTCTCTCAGGGTTGCCTTCCACCCAGAAGCCAGATCCTCCCTGGTTGATGAACACTGGAGTGCCCCCACATTCCTGTAGTTTTAGTCTCTGCCTCTCTCCTGGCTTCTCCTTTCTGTCTTGTCTAAGTGTTTAGATACTCTCCATTCTTGATTTTGCCCTGTCATCTCTCCACATTCCATCCTGCTTTCCACATAAGGGTATTTTCTTTCAAAATGTCTGGCAGCTAAGCTCTGTGTATGTTGTATCCACTTCATTGGCACTTGCACATTCTTTTTTGTTTCCTTTAATGTTTCTTTTTTTCCCCATGGTGCACGTACAGTTTGAAGCATCTAGTTCTCTGAGGCTTATGATTGACTACATTCTTTGCTTACCTCCTGTCATGGTTTTTATTCCTGAGAGCCCTCTTGTTTCTACATATTCCTTTTATTTATTTTTCACATACTGACTTTGTTTCATGTATGCAACACTCTCTGTTACTCTCTGTTATTTCTAATATCTACATCTAATATCTGAGGATATTAAAGATAGTTTTGGGTATTTTTTCCCCTCCCTTCTTGGTCTTATTTTTTCCAAGTTGTTTGTTTCAATTGCTATCTTTTGTGACAGGTTTTCCTCAGATGTCTGGGGATCCTTGGTTGTCTTATATTTATGAGTGGGACACTCAAAAAGCTGATTGGCATTCTGGGTTCATTAGTCAGGGTGGAGGGCTTGTGACTTCACATCTGAATATAGATCCTGCAGTGGAGAGTCATTTGTCTCTCTAATTTAGGGGCACCGTGAGGTCACCGTCTTTAGGCTTTTCCTCTTGGACTGGTTAGCTTCTCCAAAGAAAGATCTTTCAAAGTAGTGGATTGGCTGTCAAGTGTTCTGGGAGCTAAGTGAGGAAAAAGGGCTGGGGGAGGCACCTCAACTTTAATTACTATGTGATGCTTGCTTAACATCCCCTCCCAGTTTTCAGAATGGTACTTCTTTCAATGTGGCTGGCATCCCTTGGTCCAGAGACTCTCTGTTTTGACCTTTCCAAGAGTCTTAAGCTTCCCTCTTCTCCAAAGGAGAAAATGGTCAAGGGTTATCAGGAAATCTAAATGCTTTTAAAAATTTTAATAGTATACATTTAGCTTATTTTTTTGCAGCACTAATCTGTCAAAGTGGTGATGCTTCATTTATAGGCCACTCCAATATTGACCATTGGGAAAGCATGTCTCCAGCTATTCCAAAAAACTTGAATATAGAGGTAGGGGAACAGGTGTGATAGGGATCAGAAATGAAGAAAACAAATTCCTAGTTTAGGAAGACATAACTGCTTCTGGACTGGACCTTGAACACACCTGTATTGGCCTTGTCTTCCACCTCTTCCCAAGGTCCCCTGTGCTGCCAGTTACCCAGCCTTTGGAGAATCTTGGGATCCACATTGAATTGTTTCATTATTGGCTTAAGACTCAGCTTTTGAAGATCTTAGTTTTTCACTTTCAAAATGTGGATGTCTCCTTTTACAGTTGTTTTCTTTGTGAGTTTATGTTTCAATGAATTAACCTTTGTTGACATTTTAGTGGGGTTTTAGGAGGAAACCAAATGCATGGGTTCAGCCGGTAGTCTGTACCCAGAAGATGTCATTAACTCTCGCATCTGTGTGCTCCTCTTTGACCCAGGTGATACCGTGAACCTTGTAGAAGTGACTAGTGGCTTATGTGGAATGAAAAGCTCTGTGTTCAGTGCTCACTTTTCTAAACTCTGTAGTATGTGACACGTCGTTCCCATGTTTTCTTAAGTCTTTGTTTGGCTTCCAGGACTTCACGATCTCTGTTCTTCTACTAATTCCATGTCATTCTCCTTTATCACCTCCTCTCCTCCCGTACTACCCCTCGAAATGTTCATTTTATCCTGTGTCCTGCCCTTAGCATTATTTTCATCTCTTTTTATATTCTCCCAAGATGCAAACTGGTAGAACTGCTTTGCCTCGGAAAGGGCTGGGTCGTGAGAAAAAGGGCAGCAGCCTTGGACTAAGTTCTAGACTCTACCTTTGCTAGCTGGGAGCCCTCAGTGAGTCACTGAAGAACAGCGAGTTGCCTGTTGGTCTCCTGTAATGGAGGAGGGAAGTCTCCTGCTCAGGCTCCCCATGAGAGACGGCAGCGCTGAATGTGTGTGCTTTGATTCAATGCTGCTTTGACCTTCAGTTGGAATGCTGCTTCTCTTATTTCTCTCGCCTCTTATTTCAACTTCTAAATGTCTGAGAGCCCCACAAAGACTTCAAACTAAATAAATCTAAAGTTGAAATTTATCCTGCCCCCTTTTCAGTCTGCTCTTTCTCCTGTACTCTGTTTCCTGGATCCAGTTTCTCCTTCCGCTGTCCTCCATCTGCCTCTTTACCCTCTCCGGCCCTCGTTGGGGAAGGCAGCTCTGCTTCGTTCCCAGGATGGGAGTTGAACATGCAGCTACTGTGAGGTGCCAGGGCTGCTGAGGTGTGTGCAGTGTGTCTTCTCTCCTTCATGTGTGGGCTCAAATAGGACAAAGATTGAGAATCTTTTAATTTGGAGCTTCACTGTGTCTCCTGGGCAACAGCCTAGTCACTGAGCTCTAGGACTTCCTTCCATACTACCTGTTCTTCCAAAAACCAGTTTGATCATATCATTTCCCTCCTTAGAAACCTCTCTTGATTCTTGATGACTTCTAGATCAGAATCCAAACTCATTGACACATACAAGATCCTTTATGCGTCAGCCTTCCCTGCCACTCAGCTCTCCCTGCACACAGCCCTCCATCCACACCACGTTTCTCAGCAGGTCTTAGATTCCTTGTGTCTCATGAAAGCCTCTGCCTTCTTCTGTGCGGTTTCCTCTGCCTGCCATGCTCTGTTTATTGTCCAGCTCCTTGCTCCCCACCCTGGTTAGCCTGCTCATTTCCTTTAACATCTGCTTCAAATGTCCATCGTCTGTAGGCTTTGTCTGGATTTCCTAGCTCGAGTAGGTTTCCTGTATTCTACCAAAACTTGGTTCTTACTCCTTTAGGATTAGCTTTTAGGGTATGCTGTTCTGCAATTGTGTGTACATCTATTTTTTCTTCTTTGTGTACCTAGTACAGTGTTCAGTTCTCAGGTTTTTGGTTTGTTCAGTTGAATGAACATGAATGGACATCCTGTAGATATTGGTCTCTTATTTGCCTATTAACCTTAAGAGAAGTGCAACTCATTAACTTCTGTCAGTTGATGGCATAGCAGTAGGTCAACCATCTCCACTCTGGGCTCTTGGCATATTTTATGAAGTAGTCAGGGTTAAGAAGCATATTATAGATGGCATGAGCTGTGGTTATTTGCACTGATGGTCAGTGTTTTCTTTGCTGTATTTTTTTTTTAAATGCCCATTCATCTTAAAATTCCTTTCCAATATAGTCTTCTTGGTACAACCAGGCAGAAATTATGCCAGGTGAATTCTTTTCATCAGGGCGTGTTCTCTCTCAGTGGTACTGTGCGAAATGAACAAAACATTTTAGAAAAATTTTTAAGCAGCCTTCATATCATAGTTTGAGGGAATATGAGGATTTTTCTTTATAATTTTAGAAGATATTATTGTACTTAGAGTAAGTTTGTATTGTTCATATCCCACTAGATGCTTCACATAAGAACCTTTCTGTACCGTAGGCAGGGAGTGTTGATTAGAAGCCCTAGGTCATGGGCTGTTACGAGGAAAGGAATACTTCCTTGAAAAGGTGTTTGGCACAGAATTGCAGTGCTATTCCTGGGTAGAACCGTTGTGATTTTCCTTTGAAAAAATTACAAATATATAAAAGATTGACATTCTTCTCACATGTGTGATGTTGGGAATGCAAGGTATATTCAAAAGTAAACATTTATGGCCAATTTCTTTGGCTCAGATTACTATGACATGGAATCCATGGTCCATGCAGACACGAGATCATTTATTCTGAAGAAGCCAAAGCTGTCTGAGGAAGTAGTAGTGGCACCAAACCAAGAGTCGGGGATGAAGACTGCAGATACCCTTCGGGTACTTTCAGGACACCTTATGCAGACACGGTAGATGGTTTCTTTTTCTTGTGTAGCTTTTTTGTGTTGATTAGATAGTGCAGGTTAATGTGAGTTCCCAGCTTCCCTCTTCCCCATCCCAGCCCCCAGTGTAGAGTGCTTTTATTGAGTCAGTCGGCAGGCCATGAATAAATAGTAAGCCAAATTCAGTTTTCAGAAATTACAGTTCATCTTTCTTGTTCAGAAATCTGTTAACCTACAAATAAGTCCATGTATGATTTAGCTCTGTAAATAAGATTCTTTCCTTTAAGCGCATCCAGGAAATGAAATTTAAAAGCCAGGTGATCAAAATCAGGAGATCTCTGCAGTTAGATCAGATTGGGGTGATTCCTCCCTTAGAAAATGGACTAAATATTCTATAAAGTAACACACAGATAATAAAATCAGTGTAAATATAGAGCTGCTGGCCACGTGTTCTGAGCATAGATGCTGATTTTTCAGTTTATCTCCATGTGACCCTGTGAAGATCGAATGGACGATGATGTTCAGGGTGGAGGGGAGATTGTCCTTAGTGCAGCCTGGAGGGTCGCTGGCCATGCCGCCACAGCAACTGGCCGTGGCCATGGTGTCGTGGCGGAAGCCACCAGGGCCGTACCTGCAAGTCCTCCTGAGTTTGTTTGGTTTTTTTCCTACTGAAGAGACCACCACCAAGTAAGGGAGCGATAGTTCTGCTGAAGAGCACTGTAGGAGGCTCAGCGTTTTGTGTTTGTTTCCCTAATTCTATGGTATTTTCTATCTGTCTGGCAGAGATCTTGTACAACCAGATAAACCTGCAAGTCCCAAGTTTATAGTGACGCTGGATGGTGTCCCCAGCCCCCCAGGATACATGTCAGATCAAGAGGAGGACATGTGCTTTGAAGGAGTGAAACCTGTAAACCAAACTGCAGCCTCAAACAAGGGACTCAGAGGTCTCCTCCACCCACAGCACTTGCAGTTGATGAGCAGGCAGCTCGATGACCCAAATGGTAGCTTTTCAAATGGTGTGTTGAGAGCTCAGATTTTCCCTTTCCAGGGTGCTGTCATTGTGCAGGAAACCTGGGACCGGCCTCTCTACCTGGAATGAATATTGGTTGGAGGCCTTGCTCTTAATCGTAATTCAGTAGCCGCCTCTTTTCTTCTCTCAGACAAAACAGTGAGTTCCATCCGTAGTGGGCACTGCTCCCCGGCTGCCGTGCGCTCAGCCCTGAGAGCCAGAGTACCTCTTAACCATGCCTGTGAAAGGATCAGCCTTCGTTCTTGCTACCTTGTTTCCTTTTTTCCTTTAGAAACTATACTTGTTACTGTCCCCTTGTTGTAACATAATAGTCTCTTACAATTAACTTGACAGAAAAATGAATTTGGATTTTGATTCTATTTATACCTCAGTGAAATTCCCTTGAAAGGAGTTTCTCACCTAATTTATCAAGATACTGCTGGGAAGTTTAGCAAAGCCTTATGTTTAAATTAATAAATATTGAAGCAAAGTATTTAGTAGACACGAGATGAACTCTGTTCAGATAACAGCCTGCTTTTAGGCAGATGAATCGTTATCACTGGCTGTTCTCTCCCTGGGCCCGGTGTCAGGTGCACAGACTGCTGGACGTTTTCATTTGTGACAAGAGAATGGTAGTTGTGTTCCTTCTGTCTTGTAAGATGTTTAGAAACACCTCTATTGGGAGGGGAGACAATTACTGAAGCTTAAAAGTGAATAGTAGCGAAGCAAAGAAAAAACAGTAATGGGTTTCGATACTTTTCCAAGTTAATCCTCTTGGCAGAAACATGAAGATGTATTCAATACCTTTTTCAGTTGCTAAAAATATAATAGCTTTTAGAGGGAGATCATGAGTGAGTGAGGAGATACCACTGTTGAATTGAAAGCTTTTTCGCCTCAGTCAATAATATAATGTCCTAGTTTTGAGTGGTGGAGGGAATTGAAAGTCTGACTGTATCAAAAGGAAGAAAAAATTTTAAATGGTAACAAAGGTGGTTAAGAACTGCCATAGAGATGCCGTACAGATTTCCTGAACCTGTGTATTTTGTTTCAAATGAGAGAAAAAGTTAGGGTCTAATTTTGTTTAAATGTAGATGTCCATGTTAGGCTTTATTGGTGTATACGTCCTAGCAGCGCCCCTCTAAATAACACGTTAGACTTCTTGCCTCGGTTTCACAAGTGCCGTGGCCCTTCTGGAGGCCAGGGGGATGAGCGGCGAGCCTCCTGTGCCGTTGCTTTGATCTGGGACTCTCACTGTTTCACTGCTGCTCGAGGATGAAGCTTTGTAATAGTTGGAACATAAGTGAGGCCCAAGAGACTGAATAACAGTCACAGAGAGGCTCTGGTCCTTCTTGCTCTTCCCCTCCAAGCAGGGAATTTGAAACTTGGTGATTGCTTTTGCTGGCTTTTTGTCCAGTGTTTCAAGGGTGCTGTCAACAGCACTCCCCGCCCTCCCCCGCCCCTTGAATGGCAGCACAGGTTTTATAACTTGCAATAAAAAGTGAATTTGCGGGCGCCTGGGTGGCTCAGGTGGTTAAGCGTCTGCCTTCGGCTCAGGTCATGATCCCAGGGTCCTGGGACCGAGTCCCGCATCGGGCTCCCTGCTAGGCGGGGAGCCTGCTTCTCCCTCTGCCTCTGCGTCTCTCTCTCTCTCTCTCACTCTCATGAATAAATAAATAAAACATTAAAAAAAAAAGTGAATTTGCCTAATCTTAAACAGGAAAATTTTTAATGGCTTATGAGGTTAATGTTGGGGAAAACCAGAATTGAGACCTCTTGTATATATGACCCAACATTTCCATTAGAAAGATAGTGTTTCCTTGTATTTAACTAATATTGCCCATGAGTAACTACTTCATTTTCCAGCCAACCTGTTCTTGGGTATTCTGTTAACTTCTTTCATTTGGCCTGGGTTCCCATGTATATACCATAGTCTAAAGTATGTTCTTTAGGAGGAGGGTAGGACACATTTCCTGCAGGCAGGATATTAGACACACTTAAAATTGGAGAAAACTGCTCTTTCCAGCCATGCAAGATTTTATTGGAGACTTAAGAATACCTTTATATCCTGGAGCTAAACAGTGACTTTTACTGTTTTAAAAGTAGCGTGGAAAACTATATATCAGACATAGTTGTGGGTTTTTTGTGGCTTTTTTAAAGATTTTATTTATTAGCATGAGCAGAGGGGAGGGGCAGAAGCAGAAGCAAACTCCCCACTAAGCAGGGAACCTGATATGGGGCCGATCCCAGGACCCTGGGATCATGACCTGAGCCGAAGGCAGACGCTTAACCGACTGAGCCGCCCAGGCGCCCCTAGCATAGTGTTACAGTAGCCCTTTCATGGTACTCCTGTCTAGGCTCCAGGACTGGATTTGTGTGCCTTGTTCTCCTGTAATGAAGACTGAGGTTGAGTCACTAGATCAGTAAGTTCTCAGAATACCAGCTGCTGCACTGTTAGGTTTTGATTGGTCGCCTACTTTGTATTTTTGTTTCCATTCAGTCATAAAACTCTAAGGAAGACATCATTTTCTTTTTGCATAGATAAGGAAACTGAAATTGAGGTACTAGGTAAGACTTGTCCAAAGTGTCTGGCTCAGCTAAGTTACAGAGCCAAATTTGAACTGCTTGATCTCAGGCAAGAGGAATAGAGCAATGTGGCTGAAATGATGTTTGCTTTTATAGTTACGAATGTGAACCCTAATTTGTAACACCCATGATGCTTTTTTTTTTTTTTTTTTAAAGCTAGGGTGTTTTGGTCCAGAAGTTGTCGGGTCGTTACGGCCTTTGGGTGTGCATTTTTGGCCTTTTTACATTTTAAATGGGCATTAGTTGCCTGCATTTAAGCTTTGTATGTCATATAAAAAGGTTTTTGGCTTTCTCTGAATCGGGAGACAATCTGGAAGCACAGGCCCACTTTCCCACGCCCTAGTAATTGACATCGTCATTGGACACGACCCCGAGAGGGAGCGGCAGGCAGGCAGTGAGCCCTGTGGATGGTGCATGCACTTGCTCTCCTGGTTGCTCTTACCCACCTTTGTTTCCTCCCCACCAAGGCTGTCTGCCACCGATCATCTTCTATCCAGCCAGGCTCACTGCTGGGTGATCTAGCGGGCCCCTGTAGGTAATGACATTTGTGACCCATTTTAAGCAAGAAACTTTTCCTCACATTGATGTGAGTTTATCACCTGGACTTAGAACTGTGTATACCTCAGTGAGTGGGAACACTTTTGTGTATGAACCACTCATAATGTCTGAACGTGAGAATTTGTTCACATTCTTTGTTGTTGTTTTTTTAAAGATTTATTTATTTGAGAGAGCATGAGGACGGGAAGGGGCAGACGGAGAGGGAGAGAGAATCCTCAAGTCGACTCCTTGCTAGGCTTGATCCCAGGACCCCAAGTTCATGACCTGAGCCAAAGTTGGATGCTTAACTGACTGAGCCACCCAGGCGCCCCAGTTCATATTCTTTTTCACCTTGTGTTTGCAGTTTTCATTTCATTTTATTGGCTCCCTACTTGGACATCCTTCCCCGCCCCCCTCCTATTTTAATTCAGCTCTGAAATAATATTGAGCAGGGGGTTTGGGGTGAGAGCTTTGGCTCTAGTTGCAGCATCCCTCTCTGGTTTGCTTTTCACAGTGAGAACTGCAGTGTGCTTCCTGGTGACCTTTTTTAGCAGGCTCTTACCTGTGTTACCCAGAATATTGGACTCCTTTATTTTGTATGATCATAGACATGGAAGAACATAAGATTTTAAGACTGGGTTTTGAGGGAAATGTATTAAAGGTGCCATATACTGAATTGATCATAATTAATGAGATACTTTTAACTTTTTCCCCTTTTTAGCTGAGATAAGTGAACTGAGTGTGGTCCAGAAACCAGAAAAACTTTTGGAGCGTTGCAAGTACTGGCCTGCCTGTAAAAATGGGGATGAGTGTGCTTACCATCATCCTGTTTCACCTTGCAAGTGAGTAGCAGCAGCAAGCTGATTCTGATCTGCAGGTTAATTTCTAGATCTTAGAGCTGGTTCTGTTTGTTTTTCGTTTCTGTGGATGAATTTGACTCGTATAAATGCAGTGACACTTAACCATTGCCCTCCCAGAATAGCATCCTTGTGTAATATATGTGTGTGTGTTTGAGGGAGTGGGGAGATGGGAGAAGGCTTCTGTACATTTAAGGAGATGGTTATATAACTGCCCTGGTTTGAATGCATTATATTCATGTACATATCCACAGCTTTTAAGGCATTGGGGACACAGTTACAGGTAATGTGACAAAACATTTTGGACTTGGGTGTAATTTTTCCTTACCAGTTGGCTGGTTCAATGGCATGATCTTTGAGAGGTGGCTTTTAGATTTTAAAAAAAATACATATTTTGGTCCTAGAGGTGGAATCTCCATGTTTTGACTTAAGAAATGTGGATGTGAGAATAATATGGATGTACATGGAGGGGGAGACCACACCAATGAGTCTTTTTGGATTGGTGCCTTGCACATATATTATGCTCAATATATTGAGTTCCTAAATTACTGCAAACATAGATCTTACAGAGGAAATGGTATAAGGTATGATTCTTAACACAAAAAATCCTTTTGTCTCTCATGGTCATGGCTTGAGTTGAAAATCTTATTACCTTAGGCTTCAGAATAGACTACTGTGTCCTTTTTTGAAATCTGGCCTCATTTTTTTTTTCAGATTTTTTAAAAAATGTATTCATTTGAGAAAGAGCACAAACGGGGAAGGGCAGAGGGAGAGGGATAAGCAGACTCCCCACCTGACTTGGGGCTCGATCCCAGGACCCTGGGATCATGACCTGAGCAAAAGGCAAAAGCTTAATAACCGCCTGAGCCACCCAGGTGCCCCAGATATGGCCTCATTTAAAAATTGAGTTTCCCGGGGCATCTGTCTGGCTCAGTTGGTAGAACATGCGACTCTTGATTTCTGGGTTGTGAGTTCAAGCCCCACGTTGGGCATAAAGCTTAGTTTAAGAAAAAATTGAGTTTCCCTTTTTTCTATTCTGTGTTTCTCAAAAAAGTAGTGATGGAATAGAATGAGCCTCTCTACAAAAAAAAAAACAAACAACAATGCATTGAGAAGATTAAATGTGAATAATGTTTTTATTTTATAGAGCCTTCCCCAATTGTAAATTTGCTGAAAAATGTTTGTTTGTTCATCCAAATTGTAAATATGATGCAAAATGTACTAAACCAGATTGTCCCTTCACTCATATGAGTAGAAGAATTCCAGTACTGCCTCCAAAACCAGGTTAGTGACACTGTGTACTACTACAGTAGGTAAAAAATGGAAAATGACATTTTGTGATTATCAACTGAGTTTTTTTATTTTATTTATTTTATTTCTTCGTTTGACAGAGAAAGACACAGCCTAGAGAGGGAACACAAGCAGGGGGAGTGGGAGAGGGAGAAGCAGGCTTCCCGTGGAGCAGGGAGCCCGATGCGGGGCTGGATCCCAGGACCTTGGGATCATGACCTGGGCCGAAGGCAGACGCCCAACGACTGAGCCACCCAGGCGCCCCATCAACTGAGTTTAAAAGAAAAAAGGAATAGTTTTAGAAATTATCATGCCAGAATCAGTTAACCTAACCAGTCTTTAAAGAGTAGGTGTGTCTATTCAGTATCATTCTAAAATATTTTATCTAATGAATATATGTCTCTCATTTTTAAAATGGGTCCATAAAAACATCAGTAGATTGCATTACAGATGATTTTGCCGAATTTGTTCAATCTTTGCTCTTATTTTTGTCAGCAGTTGCAACACCAGCCTCACCTTCTAGTAGTCAACTGTGCCGTTATTTCCCTGCTTGTAAGAAAATGGAGTGTCCCTTCTATCATCCAAAAGTAAGAATTTTCATTTTTCCAAAAAATGATTTAGTGACAACTTTTCAATTCTGAGGCCTGGAAGAGCACTAGCAAATTGATTATCTTGTGTGTCCATGGTCTTCCCCTACCCACCCCCCCCAGTTTGTTTTTGTTAAGACCTTGTGGTTCTTGGTCTGAACCAGAGGTTAATGTTCTAGGCTCTCAGAGTGAAGCTTCCCTTTGCTTAGTTTCCATTCCTCTCTGCACCTAAGCATGTGGGTGGGGTTTTTTACCCCCACCTCATGTCAGAAACAGATGATGAAGTCCAGTTGTACTTGTGCTGATGGTTTTAATTTTCTGTGTGCTATAAAGATGGATGTCTCCCCACCTGTTGAGTTGCTCAGAGTGAATGATCTCTCTGGCCGTCACTCCCCGCCAGCTGCAGTTGGGCATAAATGAGGGTGTCCGGGGCATGAGGGATAGAAGGGATGTTAGGGTGATTGGAATTTTGTGTCAGGGGGTGGGGGGGGGTCATTTGTCAAGGTTTCAGTATTAAAATATTGTTAGATTGTATCTCTTGCCCCATTAAATGTTTCTCTCAAATTGCCTTTTTATTTGTATTAGCTTTGCAAATGTTGAGACTGTTGTTTGTATTTAGCACTGCAGATTTAACACTCAGTGTACAAGACCTGACTGCACATTTTATCATCCCACCATTACTGTGCCACCACGACATGCCTTGAAATGGATTCGACCTCAGACCAGGTAAAGACTTGGGGGAGATGATCACTTTGATTTTTCTCTACTGTTTCAGTTGTACATGGTCCTTGGAAAACGTTTCCAAATTTCGTTTTACCAGTGATTGCTTCTTCACCTAGATATCTCCAGATCACATTTACCTTCTGCCTATATACTGCTTACAAATCTCACATCAGTTTTCTTGGCATTAGTAATGTAAAACATTGGAAGAAAGTTTTATAAATTTAAATACACATCATTACATAGTTTTTATATAATTATTTAAAAATCTGATACTTACATTGTAAATCTGTAGAACAAATACTCGTCGTGTGAAAATACTCCTTAGCTGGGTATGTATGAACGTAAAGCAGTTAATTAAAATTTTTTGTTTACTCAGTGAATGACAGTCCTACTTGGCAGAAGATTGTGGAGTTTCCATCTACTGGCAAAAATATTCTGCAGAACTTGTCAAACCTTTGAAACTTGGAATATATTGGTTTCATAATACGAAGTTTATTGCCTATCTGAAGTGTCTAATTTTTCAAGTTTGTAAGTTTATTAAGTGGTTTTAACATTGGGTATTTTTTGTTTGTTTGACTATGAAAAGACCGTTTAAGGAAAAGCTAAATTCTATTAAAGCATTTGAGGCGTGTTTGTACACTGCTATTTCAGATTAGTGTCAGTACTGGGGCTTCAGTGAGAGGAGCATCCTTACTCTAAAAAGTTGGATTTTGTTCACTTTTCCCAAGGATTAAACAGAACACTGGCCAAAAGTGTGGAGACAGCTTAAAATAGTCATTCAGTCCTGCTTTTAAATGAATTTAGTTTGAAAAGCATGATAACACAGGCTTCTTGGGTTGAGTGCTGCTGTAGTTGTACTAACGGTTCTTACCTTCTGGGATAGGGTGGGGCGGGTAAAAACAGAGTGGCAAATGCAAAAAAAGATGAACAGTTCCTTAAAATGCTTTCATTTACTATGAACATACACTTTTTAAATAAATATTTTGGGGCTGCATTATCACAAAATTATACAAAAATTTTTTTACAATACTATATACAGAAGGTATCAGAAAACAAACTTCAAACTCACAAGATTATAACTACATATATTAACATTTTCAGAAATAACTCCACAAAAAATTTTTTAAGTGTAAAAATTAGATTTAAATAGTATATTTTAAATGACTAATTACAGAAACCAGATGGGTAAACTGCAAAACAGGACTAACCTCTCGGACTACTGAATCCGTACACAAGCTTCTGTGTGTGGTTTTTGAAATAGTTAAGGCAAGAAGTGTCAGATGCTTTAGAATTAAATAACCAACGGATCACGATCTTAAAGATTTGATGTACAGCAATTTTTAAAAAAATAGACTCACACATTCTCAGGACCAAATTAACTGTAAAAAAAAAAAAAAAAAGTTCATTGACTAGTTATATACCCGAGGGATAACAAAACAGAATGTGTAAAAGTCCATGTTTAAGAGCATAAAACCAGCAGTCGTTTTGTGGCCATTGCTTTTCCATTGGGAGAAGAAAGAATTAACCAGTTATTAAACCAGCTGTAAGTTGCACTTTGCTGTGCCGATTCCTAAGAAAAACCTTCAAACCATGGAAGAGGAAAGACCGTGCCCAGGATGGCACAGAGCTCTCACCGAGTTAGGCTGGGGTGACAAGACTCCTGAATTTAAGGCGTTTGTTCATTCCAGTGCTACTTAGATTTCTTCTGCAAAGATGTAAAGCATCTTAAGTTGTATTTCTAGAAATCTAAACAGACTTTTAGTATCACGATTTATAAATGGCATTCAGAATTCCACTACAAAGAACATAAATGGGAAACGGGGCTTAAGTGGTTTGGTTCAGGCATTTCACAAGTCAAGAACATGCTAAAATCGGATAGTTTTTGCCATTTAATAAACACTGCCTGGAAACCCCTTTAAGGGTTTAATGTTACCTTCCAGCTGCTGTGTTTTACAGGCAAGCTAAGGTTGACTCTAGACCAAGTTACCCAACAAATGTTTAAAATGAACCACCATCAAAAAGCATCGCAACAAGGGGGGGAACCAGGTGGCTAGTGGCGGGGGCGGCAGATGCAGTGTGCTCGGGCGTGCGCTTATGTACGGAAACGGGACTGAAGGGGCCAGAAATCTCAGGTGACAAATTGAGGAGCTTAGTCAAATACTGCACACAAAAGTAATTCTCTGGGTTAAAAAAATAAACACAGGGCAGAATCTTCATAACCTGTGTGGTTGTTCACCTTCCCTTAGTTGATGGCTGGAATAAACAAGGTGGTGGTGGGAGAACTACTTAAAATCAACATGAGTTTTAGTCGTGAAACTGACAACAGTCATTAAAGCTGGCTTATCAGGCTGGCCACTCGGGGGAACAAAAATGCAGCGGAGGCATTTTTGTCCTAAGTCTTTTACCTAAGGTTATAATTAGCGTTTCTACATGTACTGTAATAGAAATGGAATTTCTCTTTAGTCAAAAGCTGGGAAGCTTTGGCTCAGAAGGAAAATTTGAACAGGCTCAAAGATGGAGGGGGCGAGTGGGGGGGTGGTTCAGGGGAATTTCTTTAATTTTTGAATGGCTCTTTATAATAATATACGTGGACAGAAATTTAATATTAGTATATTCTAAAATTGGGCTTAATTTAGGAGAATCCATTGATGTGACTATGATCTTATGTTTCAAGCTTCTTAATGCCTTAATCAGTCCTTCAGACACAGCTACTGTTCAGAGCTTTAAAACTGACCATGTTCAATCACTGGTTAGGCTTTTTGTGATACAGTTCCGCCTACAGTTCTGTTTTCAGTATTTACAAGGTGTTGGGCATACAAAATAGGTATCAGGAATCTTCATGTCTGGTCAAACCAGACTGAGATTTCCAGAAACCTGAAGGGGTCTATTACGCTACAAAGATAATTAACACATTAAAATAAAATTCATAGGACCAATAGAGCATCTTAAACTTTTTCACACTTAGAAAAATATATTTTTAAATAGCAATCTACATAATCTCCCATCTTCAGGAAACTACGGACAGGCTAAACAAATTCCTGAACGGCAAGTACTGATCTTTGGCAGCATTAAAGTGAATAGGGATAAATATCTAAGAGTTAAGCCCTAATCCACCAAAAAGGAATTTTAATGGACAAGTTTTACAAGTGGACCTGTATTCATTCCTTTTGGAGGTCAGCCTATGGGGTGGCATACATCTAATAAATTTTTCCAGTAGAGAAAAAAGCTATAAAAATTTTATTTCAAGAGCTTACTAAATTGTTTGACTTTGTAAATGTGACCTTGAACACTTCAGTCTACATATTAAACAAGTGTTTCTATTATACTACATCTTTAAATATTCGGTATGCTCTCCCAGTTAACTACTACTGCTGTCTAGAACTTTAACCTGTACACCCCTGAAAAGGACTGTTTGTCATACTACCTTTTCATTAATGAGGCTATAATCATGTTTTAATTTTTCAGCTATAGAGATGACTTCCGAACAGAAAAGGATCGACAGCTCAAAAATGAAAACGTAGTGATCATATATTACTAACTTTGGATTTGTTCCTGAATGTAAAACTGCCAGGAAAAAAAATGTCCTTTATAAAAAGAGGTTTACTGATGCTTAAGTAGCATTATCTTCTCCAGTAAAGCTCATGTGTGTGTTTTCTTAGGGAAAATAATGTTTGCCTTTTAAAAACTGTGATCCTCTAAGGTGATGGTGTGTTTCCTTTCCTTATGTAAACACAAGGATAAAATAAGTCATTAAATAATGAACCTTGAAAATAAAATACAAATTCTAAAAAAGAAAAACCGTTTTGCTAAAGAGAGGAAGAAAATTAAGCAACTTGGGTTCTTAAGGTTTTGATTTTTGAGAGGCGCTGTCCCCTAAGCCTTCCTAGCAGGTCTGCCAAGTTTGCACACTCCCCCAAACTGGGGGGCTGGCTTTCACCGAGTATTTATTCAATCCTTTCTTAGAGTAATTGTCTGGCAGTGTATGGATTATGGACAGTTATCCAGTGCATACAGCAAATATTTTGAACTTATCTGTCTTCTGTTTGGATGACTCTGGGCATTTATCCCTGTTAACAATCCTAAGTTAGCACCACTTGCCCACGCAAGGTTTGGTTCTGTTTTTGTTTTGTTGTTGTTAGTTTTTCCTCTTCTGTAATTCTGGTCTCTTCTCAGCATCCATATCTTTCAGTGAGGCATATGTACACATTTCCAGACAAATAAACTGCAATCAGAGACCAAAAAAAGCAGTGAGTTCATTATTTTTCTAGATTTGCAGAAGTTTAATGAGCTTTCAAATCAAATGTATAAAATTTTTCATTAACTCCTTTTTCCCGTCCTGCCCCACCTGCTGCTCTGCTGCCACGGGGCCAGCCGGTTACGCCGCCGTCGCCTGTGGCTGACTCAGAGTCTGTTACCTAATACAGTGATAGCAGGTCTCTTAGGAACTAGCAAGAGAGAATCTGCTCTTCTTGGGCTGAGGAGGTTACCCACCTGCAGTCATCACCTCCGGCACTAACGACATGTCGATCACCGCTGGTAAATCGAATATTGGTCACATGAGGTGAATGACCCAAGAACCTTTTGTGCTTTGCCTGAAAAACCATGAAAAACAAAGCTCAGGATGTTGTGTGAGGCACACAAAAATCAGAGGTTCCTGTCAGGAACCCTAGATCTCCATCACAGGGGCTGTGAAGAGAGGTAGGCAGTTTGGACCACAGCCAATGTTACTGATGTTAGCTAATGGATCTGCACCTAACACAAACCAGGTTCTTGGGGCAGGACTCTGAACGTTTTCCTCTGAGGAAAAGCGGTTTGATAAAAAGGCTAATCACAGCGTTATTAGGATAGTTTGCAAAGATGGTGTTACCTGGGGGCATGGGGAGATGATTTCTAAAAGCTTTTACCTCAGAGTAAGGGACTTAGTAAGTTTTGAAAAAATTTTAGGAACATAAAAAGTGTTTCCAAATCAGGAGACGGTAACATATTTAGCTATTAAATTATGGGGGAAGAAGTAGTAATGATCAGATGTCTGAACTGCTAGTAAAATTACATAAAAAGCAAAACCAAACACAAACTTACAAATTTTTCAGGACACGGGAAGTCAAATAACTTAACCATGCCAAAGTCATCTCCTGTTACAAGGCTGATTCCTGAATGAGATACGCAGGCACAGTTGACATTGGCTTTCTCAGTGTGTCGGGACCAGATTCCCGTAACTTCATCCCCTAGAATACTAGAGGGAAGGAACAGAAGAAAATCCATAGCAAACATGTACCACGCTAAAAAAGTTTTTTGGTAATTAATCTCTACTTAATTATGTTACTTTAAAATTAAAAGATGCTTACGCTTTAGGAATTTGATAAATTAAAAAGATGACTACTCATGGTTACCTGTTAAAACAGCAAATTTATAAGGTTCCATTTCTAATAACTGCAAGATACCGTTCCTTTAGATAAATAACACAATTGCTTAACAGTACCCAGTATGTGGTTTTATTGCTTGTTATTAAACCTAATGTGTTAAGGAAAATGTCAGGGCATCTTTAAAGGCTTTTAACCTTGATAAAGCATTTGGGAATATGTTCAGTGAAGAGGAGTTCCAGCATGAGACTATATCATCGGCCTCTTTGGAAGAATTCAAGATATGGTAACAAACATAAAACTCAACTACTGTTCCCTAGTGGAACGGCTCTAACTGTTGAGCAATAGGGTTTTCCAGTTTTCCCGGCTGACCTTCAGTCAGTTCTTACCTAGTCCACGTAGCCCAAGTGATCCTGTCCATGGCGGCCTGATCCGTAACAGGTTTTCCTGAAGGCACTTCATAGACATGTCGTTTATAGCAACCAGTGGAGACCTTGCATGGCAGTAAAATGGGACAAGAATTCCATTAGGCGAGAGACACATCAGAAGGCTATAGGATACTAGCAAAGGGTGCTATCTGATTTACATTTCTAACGATGACTACAGAAGTCTGTTAGAAAAAATGGAGAGGAGGACTAATAAGAATAGGATATTAATGCAGAAACAGTGAAGAATAAAGTCAAGAGTTCAGAAGCTCTGGAACTCAGGAGTTTTTTTCAGAAAGTTAACCGCCCAACGTGTGGCTCGGACTCACAACTCCGAGATCAAGAGTTACGTATGCTCTGCTGACTGAGCCAGCCAGGCTCTCCTAAAACTCGGGTTTTGTTTTGTTTTTTAAAGATTATTTATTTATATGACAGAGACACAGCAAGAGAGGGAACACAAGCAGGGGGAGTGGGAGAGGGAGAAGCAGGCTTCCCACTGAGCAGGGAGCCCAATGCGGGGCTTGATCCCGTGACCCCGGGATCATGACCTGAGCCGAAGGCAGACGCTTAACGACTGAGCCACCCAGGCGCCCCTAAAACTCCGTTTTAAATGCATCCACTAACAGTGTTAGAACAGCTAGTGTAAACTGGGTTTTATAGTATTGGTACCATACCTGGAGATACCTGCTATCTGCAGAGAAGTCCATTTGAATGACAAAGCTGGGAATGTCTCTGCAGTAGCTGATTCTGTTAAGGGTGGGGCCCAATGTTAGGTCGTAAAAATCCACGGAGTTCTCACTAGAACCCACAGCCAGAAACCGGGAATCTGGACTAAATCTGGAGAGGTAATAAAAGACGTGAAAGACACGTTAGACCACGTGAAATTACATAAACATTTAAGACCAGTGACTTGCTTTCTACCTCTCAAAAATAAGTATGTGTGTGATCGGGCCTCAAGTAGATTTACCCGATAGACACAACTGATCGTGTATACTGAGATTATATTTGTGTTACATGAAACAAAAAGCCTGTATTTCACTTCAGTTTTAAGTGGCTCCTGAGTTTTCATCTGATTCCTTTAAAAAGATCTAAGTTTTGAAAAAGCCACTAACAAATACATAACTCTTTTAAGTTACATAGTACACCAAATCTACCAAGATAGGATTCTTTCATCTGGAAACTTGGTATCTTCACAGCAAAAAACACAGCCCAGATTAATTTGCCTCAGGTTATCAGATGAAGTGACACCACCTGAAGTTTAGAAGTATCTTTTTTTTTTTTTTTAAAGATTTTATTTATTTATTTGAGACAGAGAGAATGAGAGACAGAGAGCATGAGAGGGAGGAGGGTCAGAGGGAGAAGCAGACTCCCTGCCGAGCAGGGAGCCCGATGCGGGACTCGATCCCGGGACTCCAGGATCATGACCTGAGCCGAAGGCAGTTGCTCAACCAACTGAGCCACCCAGGCGCCCTAGAAGTATCTTAACATACAAATATGTGCCTAGAGGTCATGGGAAATCGTATGGGATAATTCAGGTGAGGTTCTTTAGGGAAACGGGGGCCTGCGGGAAGTTTATATATTGAAATTCTGAGGAAGGTTTCATGTGTAAAAGGGTTTTACTAATGAAAAGAATGCAAGCTTTTGACAGAAATGGATTCAAAAATCTTAATCTTGATCACACAGAAGTACTCAGTAAATGGTAGCCACTGTCAAAATAAGCTTACGCACTGGAAATATAAAAGTTCAAGAGAATTTTAAAGTTTAATTCAGATTCTGGGGCATAGATGTTTGATGAATATTAATTTTTTAAAAAATATTTACTTGAGAGAGAGTTGGGGAAGGGGCAGAGGAAGAGGGAGAAGGAGACTCCGGCTGAGCAGGGACAGAATCCTGATATCAGGACCTGAGCCAAAGTCAGGTACTCAACCGACTGAGCCACCCAGGTGCCCTGATGAGTACTGATTAATTGATTATATATTCAATTAAGAGGTGGGGTTATAGCTTTAGTTCTCTAGGCTGACAACTTATGAAGGACAGATGGCTCTCTTCTGTACAGTGGAACATAATTCTTGGATGGATCAACTTGCTAGACACATCCAGTGTGATACTTACTCCTCAAACATTCCCTGAGTACATGCTGTTATAAGGCACTGTGGTTGGTGCCAGTGGATTGATAATTTAGCAAGCAGTAAGTATACAAACAGCTACATTTCAGCATGTGATTAAATGCTACAGGCACTAAGAACCTGTTTTCAAATGTAACCCAGGTCATTTAAGAATATATATACCAAAAATTCTATTCCATTTGTTGACTAACCTGATATCATGGATTGCACATCGTCTATCTCTCTTCTTTCCCCATATTTTTAGAGAGCTCACTAGTAAAATAATAAATTCTCCATTTTTCATTCCAATAGCCACCATATCCCCTTCAGGGCTGTAACACACGGTACGAGCAGCATGTCCCAAATTCACTTTGTTTAACATCTTCTGCATAAGAACCAAGAGTCATCGAGAACTATATTAAATAGAGTACTTAAAGTAAACCAATTTCTTTTCAAAATTCTCAATATAATTCTCAAATAGTTAAGTGCTAGCAATTTAGGACTTCCACTGTCCTTAGAAATTGTAACTTTAAGAAAGAAAACTGTACCTACTTTATCAGCAATATCCCAGAGTCTCACTGTCCCATCTTCTGCAGCAGAAAGGAAAAAATCCCGGGAAGGATGTGTCACCAGTCCCCATATGGGTCCATCCACATGGCCATTAACTAAAATATTACATGCTGCATTTTTCTCTCCAACTTCAATGATCTCCGCATTCCTTGTCCCAACTAGGATCTTGCCCTAAAGCACAAATGGGACCAATACATTTAATGCAATTCAACAGTTGCTTTCAATAACTTAAGAAGGACCCTACTGACCTCGTCTCCACGAACGTTCTGCTGTGAGTGCTCTAGGAGCAAGCCAGGCATTAGCTCCTGCGGTTTTCTTTGACTAGAAGCACATCCGCAGGAGCACTGGGCTGGCCTGTCTGGCAGAGTCCGTGCTAAAGAACAGAACTGCACTCTAACATCACAGCACCTGGCTTTGCCAGTCAGAGTTTGGACTTGGACTCTAGTTTAATCCGAAGAGCTCCAAGGAGGTGTAAGTGCACTGGGATCCAGGAAGAAAGTATTGGATTTTAGTTAAAAGGGAAATTAAACCAATAGATACATGGACTGAGAATAATACATGTATATGACTTATGCTTATTGCAAGTTCATGCACGGTCAAAATTTTTTATAGAAATGGGTGTTTAAAAAAACAGATGGGGCACCTGGCTGGCTCAGTTGGTACAGTGAGTGACTTGATGTTAGGGTCGTGAGTTTAAGTCCCACGTTGGGGGGCGGGGGAGGGGGAAGTACTTTAAAAAAAAAAAAAAAAAAGCTGCTCTAATCACAATGAGTCGACTGGCGAG